TAGGGAACACAATAAAGTATGTATGTATGAATGTATTTTCAAACGAGTTATGCTCCTGCGGGTTTTAACCAATTTTTCTCAAATTTTTACAGGACATAGCTAAATACGTCAGTTTCAAAATTGTGTTCGGCTTTTATTTAATTTTGGATATTTTAAAAATAAAGAGCAATTCACTCAAACAATTCAGAAATATATTGCAGTCGTCAAAGAAATCGCCATATTAGCGGAATGACGAAATAAACAAAAATTTCCGAACACAATTTTTTAGAACAACTATTTTACTGTATAAAAATGATATTTTCATAAATATAACTTAAAACCAGCAGGAGCACAACTCAAAAGCGTAAAGGTACCGCGATTTAAGATTTTCCTGAATAACTCTTACATTATTTTATTGTTTGTCAATTTTACAACTTTACCATATTTTGCATGCACTGGAGAACATTTGGTGAGAATTTGATGAAAATCGGACTGATATTGAGCGCGGAGTAGCGATTTTCCGCAAAACGCCAAAAAGGGTGTCCTGTAACCTTAAGTACGGCAAGCATTTTTACCTCAATTTTGTCTATAACAAATTTTTGAGAGCGCTTCAAAATAGAGGAATTAATCGTTTGAATTCTAAATTTTGGGGGAATGTTTGTAGTAATGACATGCAAAACATATAAAACACCCAGTTTTGTGACTTTGTTTTAAATTTTTCTGGTTTCAAGTGTAACCCAAGAATTGTGTGGTGTTCATCCGGAATTTCAATTTGCCCCCCATTACCACCCTCCCAAATTTCACCTTCGGTGCCCCCTTTAGTGTTATTTATAAACTCTATGGTACAGTGACTGTTGAAATTCATAATCTCTGATCATTACGTAGATCACGGTCTCGTCATCAAGTTTTGTGTCCAGTTATTTTACTGTTCATCATTAGATTATCCGTCTTATAAGAACTGGTTAGTTACATTTGCATTTGTTTGTAAGCCAAAGGAAAATATTTAAAATTGAAAGCTCTGATAAATTAATAAATGTATATTCTCCACAAAGTAAAACAATTATACTTATTTTCACCATGCAAACCTACAAAGAACTTATTATGAAAGTATTATAATATTATTTCAGGAAATTATATCGTTTGGGTGGGCCACCCTGCACGAAAAACTCACATATAAACACCTTAAATCATCATTGTATGCCTGATATCAATAACAATCAACACCCACATCCCGATAATGGGAACACCATAACTCTTTCCATCCACTGAAACGGCATTTCCATATGTATGATTCGTTACCAGCGCACTTAATTCTGGCAAGCAACACTGGACCACTTCTTCTGCCATAGTAAGCATTCCTTGTTGCGTTCGCTCCCGTGAAACCAAACTAGAGAGTTTGGGAACGCGACGGGAAGTGGCGACGACGACGTCTGTAACCGAGCAGGGGCCTGGGAACGAATACGTTGCAGAAACGTTGCCGTTGCCACCAGAATTCTGTTTGGCTACTTTTCGGCGGTAAAATTTAAAACTTTTGTAAATTCAAAATGGATGAAATTTTTGACACTCTCCTTTTGTCGTACGATGATGGTTTAATATCAGACGAGGAGCTTTTACTTCTCCAAGATTACTTATGTATATCGCCATATAGGCACTCAAATTTCCCTTATCGGTATTATAATCCATTTGACTGGGAAAACCTTGACGAACTTACTTGCAAAGTTGAGTTTCGGTTTGACAAACAAGACATTCCAAGGTTGCAAGAAGCGCTTCAATTTCCAGAAATGATTTCCATCCCACATGCTACAGACTGTCCTGGAAGCTTTGTGCATATTGCTCAAAAGATTTGCTTACCCAGTGCGATACTGTGATATGGTTCCCATGTTTGGCCGATCAGTGCCTGAACTATGCAAGATTACTCAATATGCAATCAATCATATTTACAACAACCATGGTTTCAGATTACAAAGCTGGAATCAACCATTTCTATCTCCAGAGAATCTGGAATCCTATGCAAATGCAGTTCATGTCAAAGGTTCCCCTCTTCTAACATGCTTTGGTTTCATCGATGGCACAGTTCGGCCAATTTGTAGACCCAGTGTTAATCAAAGAATTGTTTAC